GGAGGGCGGCCCGGCGCCCGAGTGCGCCCGCACGGCGGCATTGTTCTGCGGCCGCAGCGCTCCGCTTCCTGGGCGGCTGTGTCGCTGCTGTTCCTAGCGGCCGCCTCTTCTCCCTGCATTTTCTGCTCCCGTTGGCTCCTTACACAGTGGCTCCTCCGTGCGGCCTCCCCGGCCCGCTACCTCTGTCCGCTTCAGTCACTCCTCAGCCCTGCCCGGGTGCCGTCCCCTAGTGTCCCTTATCTGCACCTGGCTTGCTTTGACCGTGCCTTGCATCGCTTCCGTGGGAGCCTCTTGCAGGTATTCTTCCTCCCCTTGGAGAGGGAGCCTCTTCCCTCCCTGGGCGTCCTTAGGATCTTGGCTTAGGCTTTATGACAATTCATAGAGTGCACAAGTGCGTGGAGTCCCACTCGAGTGCTCTTTGACCCTGCTGCCGTCCTTAAGCTCTGGCACTTCTCTGGAGTCACTTGACAGCTTTCCCCTAACGTTTGGCTCTTTCCTCTTTGAAGAATTCCTGTTAGTGGGTGATAAGCATTACATTCACCTCTTGAACCTTGTCTTTACCTTTCATTTCTAGGGAGGACTTCGATTTGTTTTATAATCCTGTTTAAAAAATTTTCCCCACTACTGGGGGTTGAACCCAGGGGCGCTTTACCGGTGAGCTACATCCCAGCCCTTTTAGTTTGTCTTGAGACAGGGTCTTGTTAAGTTGCTTAGGACCCTGCAGAGTTGCCCAGGCTGGCCTGGCACTTGTGATTCTTCTGCCTCAGCCTCCCAAGTCACTAGGGTTATAGGAGTGTGCCATGGTACTTGGCTTTGTTTTAAATATTTTTTTCTTCAAACTTAATTTCTAAAAATGTTTGTGTCCTGTTCTTTATTATAATAGACAACTGTTTTATGAATGTGTTATTTCCTAGACGCTGAGAAGTGAGGATTCTTTTAGGTTCTCTTGTGTTTAAATTTCTTGTTTAATGGCACTTTTTTTTTTTTTTTTGGTAAATGTTGGCTTCTTGCCTTACATGGTAGGTCCTCCTCCAATATTTGCATTATTATTGTCTAAGGCAAGAGGAAACTGGCACAGAACCCTGGGTCTGTATGGGGCTGGTTTTGAAAATGGGTGGGTTTCCTCTGGGAGCTTGGTACAGTGGGACCTGGAATTCCAGATTTACACATTTTCTTTGGGCTGTGCATCTTCTCTCTAGAAGTCCTCTTTGCTTGGGGTCTACTCCACCTGTCTTTGTGGGGGCCTGAGCAGAGGCTGACTTTAGGAGGCAGGCCTGGCCCCCTCTGCCAAGGTCTTCAGCCTGCCCATGGGCTTCTGTGGGGCCTAGAGCCCCACTCCCTGTGTTGCCTGGGTTGGATCCTCTGTCAGAAATTAGTGAAGCCTTTTGCTTGCCTCCACATTCTCTTTCTTGTGGGTTTATTATCTCTATTAATAAAAAAATCATTGTAAAAGAATAAGTTGGTCAGTCACTTTGAGCAGGAATTCAAAACTTTTCTTCACCCCACTCTCCTACCTCCTTGAAGTCTTGGTGAAAGGTCCACCAGCAGAAGGGAGAGGTGTCAGGTCCATACTTCCTGTAGCTCTCTCAAATTGTGAGAAGGGTTCTGGCTCTGCAGACTTGGAAGGGGCTTCAGGCTCAGCTGGGGAAGGTCAGTCAGACGTGTGCACTGCGATTTCAGACTCTTGGCTTCTCCCAGGACCAGGTACACTGGGCCGAGCTGGGCTAGGGGCTCAGTACTCCGCAGTTTGAGGCACACCTGCAGTCAATGATGGCTACATACACTTGGAGCATAGCCTCGGTGCAGTCCAGTGAGTCTCCCACGTGCCAGTTGTGCGAGATGATTTTAGCTCTGTCTGCCAGAGGCTTGCTAGCAGAATGGTCCACAGCATAGATCAGCATTGCATTGTTTGAGTTTATGAAATCACTAGATCTATGGAATCAGAATTTAAACTTGGTAAAATTTAAATTTCAAGTAATTTTTAGTCATTACAGAAAAATAACAAAACTACTTTGGTCTATTTCCCTACTCTCTTCCCTTGCTCCCCTAATGTTGACATCTTACATAATGAAATAGCCATATAGAAACCAGAAACAATGTCTTATTGGGGCTATTAACTAAGTTAAAGACCTTATTCAATTCAGTTTTCTACTTTTTTTTTTTTTTTGATACTGGAGATTAAACCTAGAGGCTCTTATCCCCTGAGCCACATCCCCATCCCTTTTTGTTGTATATTTTTTAGAGAGGGTTGCTGAGTTGCTTAGGGCCTGGCTAAATTGCTGAGGCTGCCTTTGAACTCTGAATCCTCCTGCTTCAGCCTCACAAATTGCTGGAATTACAGGCGTGCACCACCATGCCCTTTTTTGTTTTAGTATCTAATACAGGTCGCTACTTATGCATTTAATTGTCATGCCTTTTCCAACCTGTGGTTATTTACCTAATCCCAAAGTATTATCATAGTAGTACTACCATGGTATTTATAAATAAAATAGTAACTATACAGTGGAAAAACTCAGCAGGTGCCACCTGAAGCATACAATCAACTACCAATGTTAACATTACTGGTAATGAGACTTTGATGTCAACCCCCTATGATGTAGGCCGAGGACACATCACTTCTGGTGCTGGTGCCAGATGTGCAGTCTTGTTATAACGAAATGTTGAGGGATATTGATAAAACTGACCAGTGTTCCTCACAAGTGTCCTGGTCCTGAAGGTCAGAAACTCAGAATTTTTGCCAAGAAGAGGACCAGGTGATGCAAATGCACATTAACGCTCAAGAAAGACCTCCGTGCCAGGAAATAAAGGCCCAAAACCTTGTTTTGTGAATTGGTGAATAGGTGCTCAGGAGACAGTCTAGATGAGTTTGCAATGATGGTTTTATTGATGGCATTCGGTATGGCTTATTTGTCTTTTTTCCTCATAGTTGTCATCTGTACTATGTAAATCACCCAACCTTAGTTGCATAAGTAAATTAATTACATGACACGGAAGTCTTTGACTTTTATTTTATTATTTTTTTTTTATTGGTTGTTCACAACATTACAAAGCTCTTGACATATCATATTTCATACATTAGATTGAAGTGGGTTATGAACTCCCAATTAGTCTTTTACTTTTAAACATTCATGTAACTTACAGTACCCCTTCAGCTGCTGAAATCCTGAAAAACATTTTCTCTGGAAGAAAATATTCTCGGGGAGAATATATACTGAGGGTCTCTACAAGAATGTCCAGATAAAAGCTTTAAAAGGTCCTCATATGCATGGTAAATAAAGATTTTTATTGTTTTGCATTGTGTGTATGATAGTCATAAAAAAAGACACCAGGAACTGTTCAGTAGAAGTGCTATGAACCGTTCAGTAGAAGTGCTATGAACCGTTCTGAAGTGTCCCTTCTGGGGAGGAGTTTTAGGGAATTCAAGAAGCAAATACTAGGAATCACTTGGTTTCAATTCTGCTGTTAAGAAGCCACGCTTGCTTGAGCTCATTTTGCCCCTGGCAGGGTAGGCTGTACACCCTGCCAGCCTGCAGAATCTGCTCCAAAGTGAAGTCCTCCTCTCATCTTTATCCCTCTGGACCTTGGCTTTGACTCCATGGGTCTGTTGCACAAGACTGCTCTGCCCACCCCTCTGCCCTTGCTTCTCAGGAGCAGAGATACAGAAACATTGATCCCTTCACTTCAATCCCCGGTACAGAGTGAAGTGCTATCCTGTGTGGATGGAATAAAAGTCAGTGGAGCTTGGAACTGGCCCTGGATCCCAGTGGAGGAGCTAGCATCTCTGCAGCCTGGAGCCTGGAAATATTCTTGAATTAAAATATAACGGAACATTGACATACACAAGCAGGTTGTATGCTTGAAACACTGTAAAGTCATATGAAATTGGTGCCTATTGAATTGACTTCTCTGTATCTCTCCTGTGTGCCTGATCAAGAGCTGTCCAGTTTTATTACATGTGCTGGAACATCGTCCCCCATGGTGGAGTGGACAGTGAGATTTGCTTCTTGTAAGGAGCTTCGTATTTGGGAAAGAGAAGACAGAAAAGGCCAAAGAGGGTGAAAAGACTGGGATAGATTT